TTCTTACTCCAAAAAATTTAGGATTAATAATAATACAAGTTCGAGAATATCTTGGAACATTCTTGAAAAGTACAGAATCTTCTGGAAAATTCAGGAATCATCTAGAAAAAGCTCTAATTGATCAAACCTCGATAGATTTTTGTAGAAGCTTATGAGAGAACCCAGAAGATTCTAGAATAATCTCAACTATCCCAGATATTTGTAGAAATTCTCTGGACTATTCAATGTGCTATGATCGATCCTGGCACTCACCGTGAAGCGAGTCAAATCACTAGTCTATAAAACAGTAAATTTAGTCATTAAGTCATCAATATCATTAATAAAAGAAAATTCATCAATATCCATGTTTCAACTGTGTGGGATCAAGCCGTGTGAATAGGCCTATTCACATGGCATTTCCCAAAAAACTTAGAAAATTCATTCAGAAAAAATTATTATAGAAAAAATTGAAGGATCATAATTTATATTAAAAAAATACAAATGTATTGACTTTGTTCTATCGAATATCCATTAAAAAATTGCATGGCAGAGTTGCATAATTTCGAATAGAATCAGCACACAAAAACAGAATAGTTTAATAGACTTTCAATAGAATCCGTACAGCACTCCAATAGAATTTCAATAGAAATTGAATATAATTTCTGAGAAAGCACTAATCTCTCAAATTTTTTCGTACAGGTGAACACTGATTTTCATAGGAGAGGTCCAGGCAAAATACGACAGCCGGGCACAATAGAACACCGGGGTAGAATCGCCGCAATCATGATTTATTTAGGTGTTTTAATCCCGTAGTTGTCTAAAAAGTATCAGAAATTACCCGTATTGACCCACTGGATGGTGAAAAGAACTGACAAACAATACAACAAATGCTGCTGTGCCGTTTCGCACGGCTGTCTCATTTTGCCCGGACCAGCCTTATTTCAAAAGAAATTCATTCTCATTTTCTGACTATCTCACGTTTTATTTGTAATGAAAAATAAATTTGTAAAATCGTCAATTTGTCATAGATTTTTTATTTCGTTTAACCAACTGATAAAAAGGTGAAATTATCATAAAAACGATTTGTTTTTATAACGCTGTTTATAGTAGAGGCATGTAGATGAAATCCAGCCGGAAAAAACGTATGAAAAAATACATGAAATAACTCTTCGAATCCAAGAACCCCTCATGGTTTTAATTTATTCAGTTAAATATCTAATTTATGATCATTTGCCTACACTCAACTATTGTCAATGTATAAATTTTTTCGGTGCCGCTTGATGATTCGTAATTTCGTCAACTTGTAGGATGATTACAGTTACTTCCAGCTGTTACAATGAGTCAATTATTTTGTCCCGTTGATGTAAAGTGAAAAGGGAATAATTATTGGATTTAAACATCCTCATTTATCTAAATCGCCGCTGTATAATTCATTCCCTTGGACTTTCGATAATTAATCAAAAATTAATTAAAGTGATTCAAAATTAGGTTCGACGTCGAGAAGACTAAACTTCAAATTCCTACTCCCATTTTTACTATTCTACACATTTTACCTCGATTTTTGGACTTCAATACCCATGCAATAACTATTAAAATTATTTCCCCTGTGAAACTCACAGATTTTTTCAACCTCTCTATTGCACAGTTAGAAAATACAATAATCTCCTGATTTATTTCCAGTTGAAACAATAAAGTTCGCATACTATTTTAAAAAATAGACATTCCTTCCATATTAAAATTGCGGTCTTTATGATGCCAGAAAACAATAAATTTTTACCGCTTAATATCCAAAAAAAGTGATGATTAAACATTTTTAACTGGAACTTTGTGATGAAAGTGTGAAGTCTGTGATAAAGTTATGGACTAGGTGTTCTTCCTCCTACAAACAACAATCGGAATCTCCTGGGATGTTTGAAAAAACATATAAATATATATTATAATAATCAGGAACAACAATTAATGTGTAAACATCTCAGTCGGAGGGTCGGAGTGATTTAGTGGGATCAGTCATCATCTAAAATGAGAAAGAGCTAGGAAACGAATATTAGGAATGAGGAATAGAACTCCATAATAATTCTACTAGTTCTCATTCCTAGATACTCTTTCTGATATTTTTCCTCCTTCCACATGTGAAAAAATTCAATACAACAATCTACTGCTTTTCTCCAGAAAGGGTATTGAAGTTCTATAGGAATTCTATAAGAATCTATTGGAGTTCTATTAGAATTCCGTCGAAAGTTTGTTGAAGAATTCTATTTAGCTATTGCCCTGATCCTATTGGAGATTATGCAACTTTGCTGTGCGATTTTTGATAGATGTCTGATGGAAAAAAGTCAATAGATTTTGATTTTGCTATGTAAATTATTCTCCTTGAATTAATTCTACAAGAATACTTGGGCATGAATTTTCAAAGTGTTTTCCACTTGGATTTCGAAATGAGGAACAAAGCGGAATACAGCCGGAAAAACTTGGAAAATTTATGGCAAATCATTTTGATTCTAAAAAATCTCAAGAATATAATTCTTATTCTTACAGAAAAATCAAAATCTCTTAACTCTTTTCTATAAATTATCTATTTAAAAGAATCACACGGAAAAGTTGTATAGTATCCAATAAAATTAGCCCAGAAAGTAATAGAATGTCGAGGAGAATTTCTATGGATTGTGACATTGTCTGGTATTCCTAAAATATCAGGCAATGTGAAAAGGTGCATGTTGAGACAACAAGTGACAATCGACGTAAATTCGTTAATCTATCGAATATTCAAAATATATTTATTCCGGCTACTGCAGTAAACTCGAGATGATCCTCAATAATAAAAGAAATAATTCGTAAACAATACTTTCCTGAGAACTCTTCACTATTTAGACGCACGCAGTGCCATGTACACCGTTACCTATTTGTTGTCCGGTGTGCTCGTGCTTGATCTAATTTATTTACTCTATATCTTTGGAGGAGAGGATATTGTTCAGTAACTAGAAAGATTATTGACTAACTGATAGGTCTATATTCTCGAGACTTGATATAAAATGATTTTAGAAGAAAAAAACAAAGGAATTCCATAAATGCGGGTCGTCACCCAGAATAATAACAATAGAAATTGAATAATGCTATCGTTCAATAAGAAAAATAAAAGAAAGAAGAATAATCAAAAATGATAATAATAATAATACAAAATGCCGGAAACTCCGTTTCACCCAACTCGATACAATCCGAAAGAATTATGAATCAAAGATATTTGTTGAAATTTTTTCCGGAGAAACACTGAAGAGGCTCATTTGTTCATTTATTGATTTCTCAATGGTAAATATACTGTGAGCAGGTCCGTAGACACAGCCTGGGCTTCCCAAATGCCTGTTATCCGCGAGACTAGCCACGATATCTTTCTCTTTCACTCGAGCCTCTGGAGAACAATCAGACAAAATAAAAAGATGAAGAATACAATACTAAATCCGAATGATGAATAAATAGAATAATCCCTATTCAATACCAATTAATTTGTCCCAATATTATCTGTAGCTTAGACGCTAGTAACACTCACAATAAATTATTGTATTTCGCTCCGGTATGCACCGACTCGATGGCCACGCGGTTTTATCAAAATGGAGTCGATAGTCTCCGTTCCCAACGAGATTCCTCCTGCCAGAGAAGCTGACAGGAGCTTCAATGAGCCCCAAAATGGTCTCGTACTTACTAATGACCCCATCGCACCAATGAGAATATTTTATATGTGCACACTCACTCTAATCACTCGTCCTGATCCAATATTACGCCTCGATTCCGTCCCTCGCCACGAGTTCGCCCGATGAATACAATATTCGCCTGAATATTTGCCGCCTGTATTTCGCCTCGTAATTGCTCTCAGTCGCCTCAAAAACCTCCGGATAAGGTACGGAGAACCTTGTTCCTACCTCCGTTGTCAAGTTTGCACGAAAAGCTTCTTAATTGGACCCACACAATAGATACGAAAATTAGAGAAACTTAAAGCGATGCAAAGCGATTCACAGTAGAGATGGAAGTAATGATGGAGAAGGCAGAAGTAATAATCGCCCTCTCCGTCTCAGGCTATGTCGCTCCATTTCTGTCCGGCCTTGACATTGGCCCGGATTTGAATTATTGGCCAATCCTGGCCCCAACTACATAATATCGCCGGTCACGTGCTATGCGGTGGCGTCTTCTATTCCTTCAGGTGTGGATCTCTGGTGTCAGGTGGTATCTGACGTCTTTCCAGTATCGCCAATTGTCTCGTCTATGAGTCGATTGTGTTGTGCGTGTCACTGATTAGGTTGGGTGGGCCCGTAACGTGCTGCGCCCTGGTAGTGTGTTTCAGGGCCCTCGCGAGATCCAAAATCCTCCGGTTGACATCGTGTTGACATGTGTCCGTATCCCGAGAGTAAATAGGGGAACCTCTGGTGTTTTGGTGGTGAAATTTTTGGCTTCCAGACGGTGTTACTCGTTTACCAGGCCTGCTGATGCTCCTCTCCGGTGATTAATGACCCCTCGATGATCAGGAAATGAGCTAGGACTCCTCGTTGACATTCTTAATCTCATTCACTTACTCCCAATCATTCATAACCTTCCACTCTAGTGACCGGAGCATGCGCGTATTATTTATGTTTAATTACTTATTTTCCCCACACGTCCAATCGAGGACTAAACGAAGCCACTTTGTCACCCCCCCCCCCCCCC